CTCTTACTATCGTAGGGAGTTAATGGACAAACTCCAAAAGCTCTAAGAAAGAGACATAAGTGTTGAAAAGTATAGGTAGAGAATAAGGATTTATATGATGACAACAGGAATTAGAGAGGAGGAAGAGACAACTATCTCTAGGTTTCTTAGTGGTCTCAATCTTAAGATTAAAGATAGAGTGAAATTGTTTCCCTACCAAGACTTAAATGACTTTGTACAAATTTGTATAAAGGTAGAGCAACAACTCTTAGAAAAGGTTTGAAAGTTCTCCACTCTAACTCTAGTACTAAAAATTACTATAAGAGGGAGAGCCAACAAGAGGTAGAAAAGGAACCCTTTAGGAATCTAGGGAGAGGGAAATAGAAGCGAGAAGAAAAAGAAAAAGAAAGACCAAGAGTGGGAACATCATCTTACACTCGCACTAGTGACATTAAATGTTTCAAGTGTCTTGGTAGATGTCACATTTCATCATAATACCTCACCAAAAGGACCATGATCTTAAGGGGTAATGATGTATATAGTAGCCAAGATGAGGATAGTGATAGTAAGAGTGAGGAGAGGGGCACAATCAAGAAAGAAGATGTCCATTCTTGTGAAGGAGAACTTCTTATGATAAGAAGATTTATCCACAATCAACCTAGTTCTCAAGAACTAACACAAAAAGAGAACATCTTTTACACAAGATGTAAAGTTTTAGAAAATACATGTTCTCTTATTGTGGGTAGTAGATCGTGTTGCAATTGTTGTAGCACTAGGTTGGTTAAGAAATTAACATTAACTATCTTATCCCATCCTCAACCCTACCAACTTCAATGAGTTAATGATGATGAGGAAATGATAGTTAATCAACAAGTGATGGTTAAATTATCCATAGGTAATTATGAGGATGGTGTGTTATATGACATGGTACCTATGGATGCTTGCCATATTTTATTGGAAAGGCCTTGGTTATTTGACCAATAATCCATGCATAATGGTCATACCAATGAAATAATCATCACTCATAATAAAAGAAATTTTGTATTTCATTCTCTCACACCTTCTCAAGTGGAAGAGGATTAAAAACAAATGAAAAAGAAAATAGAAAAAGAAAAATAAAAAGATAAAAAGAAAAATAAAGACACTTCTAACAATCAATGTTCTAAGTGTCAAGGAAAACAACACAAGTCTAAAGAGTGCCCAACAAAAGAGTCATTATGTTAAGGGCCAAAGGCTTGGTGGAAAAACAAAAGAGGTCTTCTTACCATCTTCCTTAAAAAGCATGGAAAGACAAGACCAAATAAAACTTTGTGTTGGAATGAGAAGTCATTTCAAAAGCATATACATTCAACACAAGGTAAACAAGAGTTTCATAGAAAATGATTCCAAAAACCAAGAACTTGATCATTCATTTGATCAAAGGTGTATAATCCTTGGGAGCTACATTCTTCATGTAATTATTCTACTAACACTTGTACTATCCTGTGTTTTAAGTAGAAGATTATTTAACCATGAGGGAAGAAAAGATAAAATTTCTCCAAGAAGAAGAGGATGTTGTCATATGCCAATTTAAAGATTTAAGGGCAAATCCCTTTCAAGAGGGAGGGAATGATGGTATATCCCTTAGTCATGGCCAAACACTTTCAAGAAGAGTTGAAGTCATCTTTATAAGATGTGCCTAGACTTTCTCTTTTGTGCCATCTTGGGCTATCATGGAGCTTTTAGAGTAGGAATAATTTTTGGGCCTTGTATTTTGGGTCAAGTAGTCTAGGACTTATTTGGGCTTTGTATTATGGGCCTAGTAGTGTAGGATTTATTTTGGACCTTGTATTCTGGGTCAAGTAGAATAGGGTTTCAAACCACTTAAGTCAATAATGGACAAAAGGCCCAAAGTTTACCTAAGTGGGACGTCCAAGAAGGCTAAAGTAGGGCGCAGGTTAGGTTGTCCAAACCATGGAGAGAGTGGTCATGTGTCATTGTCACATTAGAGAGGATTTCCCATAGGTAGTGGCTACATGTCCTCCTCCTAATGGAGAAGATTTTCACCACATGTGCCCCTCCTAGTGGAAAGGATTTTCACCACATGTCCTCCTCCTAATGTAGAGGATTTTCACTTTGTTCTTCAAGCTAGTCAATGTTGAGTTTTCTAGGTCTAGCTTTTACAATTTGGAGACACCCTTAACATATAAATATAAGTGTCTCCCACTTTTGTAATCACCGTTGAATTTGAATAAAGTTATGCTGTCATTTTTAAGTCATACTACTCATCTTAGGTCACCCAAGGCTAGAGCATTCCAAGTGGTTTCCTTTAGCCATCTTCCTTAAAAGTTGGTCTAACCTCTCTTAAAGCAACATCAAACACCTTCCCCTTCCATCATAAATCACCTAGGCCGAGAGCCTTACTCCTTTCCCACCAAATTTCGCACCATATCATCCTTCCAACCATCTCCATGGCATCTCTTCTAGTTTTGACCCAACCTAGCTTGGAGGAGTGCTATCAATACCTAAAGAGCTTGAACTTATTGTAACCTAAAGAGGTTTATACTTGTGTTTCCTAAAGAAGGTTAAATTAATTGTAACCTAGAGAGATTGAAACTCATGCTAGTAAAGGTATTTGATTAGTGGAACGTCTTAAGTGGATTGCTTAAGAGACTCGATATAGCCTCAAGGTGTAAAGTGAACCAATATAAATCCTTGTATGCATTCTTCTTTATCTTACTCTTTTATTTAGTTAAATATTATGTATGTGCAAAATGTTTTAAAAATATTTACAAGCTTTATCATCTCCCTTCTAAAGTTACCTTACATGAACATTGTACACATATTGTTTAACAAACTTGTCTTGATTAATAAGTATATCAGTCTAACATTCTTAGCCTATCTTTCAATCATTTTCTCAAAATTTTTCCAAATAGTATAAAAATCTCCAAAACTTGGTTTTTATTAGGCTAAGTGATGCCAACTCATGCTCTTCTCATTACTCTAAACATTGTCACAAATCCATTGTTGACCACATCCATTGACTTCACTAATCGATGTTTGGTGCCCTTTTTCAGTTTCTAAGTTCACGACAAAAGAATGGTTATATTCAATTTCAAAACATCACTCAACATGACTCCATGAACTTAGTAGACATAGTTGAGAGCCTAACTCCCTCAGTTATGTTCCTAAACCCCAAAATGACATATTTTAGAAGACCACACCAACAAAATCCTTGTCACATCTCATTCACGCTAATAAAGCTAATTTCTTCACAGAAAACACACAACACATGCAAATATCTCAAACTTACTATGTTAGTTCTAACCATGTACATGTACCATCAAATGCAAACATACCACACATGCTAATGATCAACAACCAACATATTTTATTCATTCATAACAACAACACATCAACATTCAACGTGACAAAATCAGTTAGTTTTCTTAACCTAAGCTTTACAACATTCTTCTTCTATAATTCCTTATTCTAACTTATTGGTTTCATCGTTGCATTTTCGTATGCACAATTCTTATTGAATTTTCATACTTTTCAGCGAAACATTTTCATATTTTTTAAAGAAAAAAAAGAGAGAAAAAACTATTTCAAAGATATTTCATATATAAGAGAGACTCACTCAATCCGTGTAACCTTATTTGTTGATATTTCATATGAAAGGGATTCACTCTATTAGTGTAATCTTATTTCTCGCTTAAGTTGTTTGGTAATTGTTTAATTAAACAATTGTTAGATTAAGAAATTAAATGTTTGATTTTGACTTAAGTTCCACTAATCTACTCCTCTTAATTCACATGTAAACATCATGCACTCGTTCAGTAATTATAGTTACATAGGTCTACTGTATGTAACTGCACTCAACATCTACTATTCTTAACCTTTATTAAATATATCTATATTTATAATTTTCGTCCTTTCATCTAGATTCTTCATTAAATAATTTCTTACCATTCATCTAATCCAATACTTATTATATACAATGAAATAGTTTAAATACTTAGTGTCGAGAAATATAAACAAGACTATTTTCTCAGTATCTTACTTACTTTCATGTTTCTAATTTTTTGCTTTATCATTCTTAATTTATTGTTCTTACTTTCTACAAATTTATTAATTTAGTATTATAACTTTAAATATTATTAAAGATAAAATATAAAAGTAATTTTGTATTGTGATAATTCTTATTCTTAATAGTCATAAAATGAACTAAAAGATTATTGTATAGAAATATGTGTGTCTTTTTTTGTAATAATAAAAAATAATAAAAATATTATTATTATTAAATTAAATATAAATAATTTTTTAATTTTATCGTAAACAATTTTTATTTATTTTGTAAATAGTTATAATAAAAAATAGTTAAGTTTAAAAAAATATCAAATTAAAAAACTGACAGTTAAATTTTAAAAAAAATTCACTTAAAAGATAAAATTAATAAAACAATTATTTTAATTTTAAAGAAAATTATTTAAAAAATAGAATTAAAAAATATAAATACCAAAAAAAAAATCTCTATATATACAAATACAAATGAAAAGAACACCAACAGGATCGTCTCAAAGATTTAACTTCCACACAGTCCTCAATAAGATGCAAGTGGGAGGAAAAATGAGAAACCCAAAATTGGATAGAAAAAGAAATCATCTTTCCATATTGTATAAAAAGTACCAACAACATACTAAAAAGTGAGGACCCTTTTATTCTCAATGACGTGTAAAATTTAATTAAATGTTTGTATTATACAAGTTTTTCTCTTGTTTTGAAAATAAAATAAACTCGAGTGATTTTTAAAATATTCTCAAATACATTTTAGAAAACTAATCAAGTTCAGTAAGTTTAACAATTTGTTTAAAAAAATAAGTTATTTACGAGCTTTCTTTTATAAAGAAAAAAAATCTTTGTACTATTCTTTCCCAACCAAAAATTGCAATCCTCATACAAACAAATCAATGTAACAATTTTAGTGTATTAAATCAATATTATTAACACTAATTAACTGAGTATCATTAAATAACCCCGCATTAACACTGTAAGACTATTGATGTATTAATATTTCATTAATTTAATACATTCATAATTCATCATCTTCAATTGTTTATGTAAGAATCACATTTTATGTTTCTGTTTTTGATAATATCACCTGCGCGCACCAGCACGGGCACACTCATGGACCTTCCATCAATGAGTCTCGTGCTCCCCGCGCGATGCAGCCACCTCAAAAATCGATGCACGCGTTCATACGCACACGTACGGCGACGTCTTAGCGACTAATTTTCATTTCAAAATGGCTTTGAGAGGTACATGAAGATATCCTGCAGCGGCGACATCTGATTCGCGCTGTGGAACTGCGAGGCCAGATTCGCGTCCACGTAATTGTACTCAAACTTGGTGTTGCTCCTCTTCGGCTCGCTCTGCACCTCGCTCGCCGGCTCCGGCGAGACCACCTGCTCCGAGCAGCTCGAGTCCATCGTCAGCAGCCGTGGAACCGAGTCCGATCCCTCGAAGTTCACGCAGTCCGCCACCGTCAACTCCGAGTACGGCCGCGCAATTGCCGGCTTCTCGTCCGCCAGTTCGGAACACTCAATTTTGACCGGCGGTTGCTTCTCAACCGCCCTTTTCTTGTTGTATATGCGACACAGTACCCAGTCATCCAGCTGCAAAATTACAATCAGGTGCACACATTTTCATCAATTTATTTATTTATTAATTTTCAATATACCTAACTTTATCGAGATAAGAACGAATCATTTCCTTAAGTAGAAACTAATAATTGGTCCGCCACATTTTATTTTATTTTTCCTGTGCTTCCTCTTTATCAAGTTATCAAGTTATAGTAATCCGAAACTTCTTGATATGTGAACCAATGAACCAGCAGCATTTAATAAAGGGCAAAACAAAGTTTTTCTTTTCTTGGAAAGGTCTATTATACCCTTTTTGAAGAGAGAAAAAGGGTATATTAGTATATATAATACACCCACCCTCAAGCTGTTTTTTCTGCGAATGGAACGGTCCACCTCGGCAAGACGATACTCGTGCATGATCCAGTTTGTCTTCTCTCCCTTGGGCGCTTTTCCAGCGTAAAACACCAATGCTTTTTTTATACCAACCGGTTTCGGTTTACCAATCGGTTTATCTGCTCCGGTTGCTTTCCAGTACCCGGTTCCCGCGGACCGGTTCGGCCGCGAACCATTCGGGTACTTCCGGTTCCTCGGCGAGAAGAAATACCACTCTTTCTCTCCGTACAACGCCATTCCTGTAGAAAAGAATATTTATACATTTCACAGATAAAATAATAAAATAACAAAGCAATACAATATTTAAAAACAGTAATTTTAATTTGGAAATTACCAGGGAGGTCCCAAGGGTCGTATTTGTAGAGGTCGATTTCGGTGATTATGGGAACGCCGCTTTGTTGGTTGAGGCATTTGCGGCAGAGGTAATGAACGACGAGTTCTTCGTCTGTAGGGTGGAATCTGAATCCTGGGGGAAAGTGAAGTTGCGGTGCGGCCATCATTGTTGGTGAGATAGAATAATGGCAAAATTATGCGGTGGCGGCTTTTGAAAGTTGGAGCGTGAGGGAGAGAGGGGAATTTATAGGGTGAGAAAAGGGTAGGGTTTAGGCTTGGGATGGTGAAGAAGAAGGACACGTGTCGAATGTGGAAGTGTGGTGCGTGCGTGTCAAGAAGTCACAGGAAGAGGTTTAGTCACTGCTGACGACATTGGTTTGGAGTGGAGCGTCGTGTCTGTTGTCGGTTCGGACCTACCCCTTTGTTTTTCACAGAGATTCGCATCCTCTCTGCGCACTCACGGTATGTTTTTTCTCTATCATAAATAATATTATTGATAATGCTCACAGTGAAGAAATGAGTAGCAGTGGAATTTTGATCTGAACGAATATCTTGTAGAAGATTTACATATTTTTAAGAAAGTTGATGGAGATAGAAGTTTAGAGCAGAGAAATATTGTTCTTTTGTTGGTCGGAATTTTCTCAGTGAGGAAGAATTAAACATTTGCCTTTCGTGAGAGATATGTATATCAGTAGGGGTATTCAATTTGAAAACGTAGATTTATCAAACAAAATGGAATTTTGAGGAGGCATGATTTTTTGTCATCGAGATAGCGCCGCTTTGAAAATCATACACTAGCATCCAAATAACAATGGAAAGAGAGACAAGCATGAAAATGTGAATGCAAAGTTCATCTAGGATTAACTAGTTACAAATATTGATAACATGATGTTTTCTTATCTCAGTTAAAAGTATGTCTCTTACCAGCCAATTATAAAATTTGTTAGGTATATATAAATTTTCATGAATCGTAAGTATATGAAACTTTGGCCACATACATCCTTGACTTTAATAATTACATCACTAAGAGAAACGACAACGGTTATTTTCGTTTATAGGTATCGGTTCCGCAATCGAGACATACACAGACGAGGTAAAAAGGAGTAGACTTTTTGCCTCGGTTCAGAACCGAGGCAAAAGGTTTCGGATTCTGCCTCGGTTCACAGACAACTGAGGCAGTAGAGTGTTTTTAATTTTTTTAGATCCAAATCGGATATCCATTTTTCCAGAAACCCTAGCCGCGTTTTCTTCCTTCTCCACGCCTCCACCAAATCATCTTCGAACCTCCAAGCACGCAAGCTCGTCACGATCTCCTCCATACGCGAAACTAATTGCAACAACCACCGCAAGAACTCAACTTCATCACGTGAAGCCATCGTGCCACCATGGAAATTGCGAGACAGCGCCTTGAAAGCTTCGTCTTCACAGAAACTCCATTCGCGACCTACAAACAAAAATCACCAAACTAAAAATCAAGCCCTAAATCGCGAGATCCAGCGCCTAACCGCCACCACGCCGTCGCGTCCTCGTCATGCCATGAGAAAAGAGTTTCCTTCCGATCTCGCGAAACCCAGCCAAGTCCAACAAGACACTTTGGAGTAGCGGCGAGAGAACCGGAGGCACCAAAGCGTGAAGAAAGCGAGCAACGAGGATGGCGCCAGAGCAATGGAGGCTTGCACGAGGAAGAAGAAGACTTCTTGGGTGCGCGAGGAAGAAGAGCTCTTGGGGAGGAAGAAGAAGATTAAACAGTAGGTTAAAATTTTTAACGCGTTCTGAAGTATAAAAAGCTATACTACCTCGGTTCTTCACTTACCCGAGGCAATAAATGCCTATATGTCTCGGTTAACAAAGCAACCGATGCCTATACACCTCAGAAATAAATAAAAGAAAAATATAAAATGACATTTTTGAAATTACATTCAACTTATACGCCTCGGTTCGCCATAGAACCAAGGCAGTAGGCAGGATCTGAAATGCTGTCAGGCGTGGGAAGTCAATTCTACAGGGGGTGGTTGAATTTTTCAGGGTATTAGACATCAGTTAAAATTCCAACTGAGGTAATACAACTTATATGCCTCGGTTCCCTTTGAACCAAGACATATAAGTTTGACAGAATTACAAAAATGTCACCGCATTCTGATAGGCTTCGATTTCTCCTAAACCGAGGCTTATTATGCGAGTTTAAATGTTGTTTTTTTTACTGGTGCATATTATATATATGGGTCTAATAATGTCATTTAGTGTTATAAATTAGAGTAGGATAATACTAAAGGACTAGACAAAGTATAAGAAAGCGATACATGCACGTTTAAGGAGTTTAAATAAAGTCTTCAAGAGAACAGAAGATCTATTCTATTAAAAAGGGTAGACATAATCTATATAAAGTATCCGATGTATATTAAAAATGTTGGATGCATATCAAGATTAAACACAATTTATATAAATTGTCGAACAGTTTATATAAATTCAAAGTGTAGACAAAGTCAAGAGAAGTGTTAATTGAAGATAAGTAAAAGTATCACACAAAGTCCGAATGCAAGCGGAAGAGAACAAACACCACTCGAAAAGTAGAAAAAGTCTTATATAATAAGCAAGTACATATGAAAAGATGAAGTTAACATGTTGAAATTACAAGAAACATTCTTGAATGTTTGCAATTCATGCAAGTTGACTCATATTCTCAAGACTTTTGAAACAATGAACCTAATTTCTAAGTTTGAATGCTTAATTTGGTATTGTAAAAAAGAAAAATACAATGATAAAGGTATCCCACGTTAAGCACATTGAGTGTAGCAACAAAACACTATCAATGAAAAGTCAAGGTTTTATAAAGTATTAACACAAAGAAAGGACAAGAAAAGTACACAAGCTTCAACGATTCTTTTGTGTTCATAAGTAGAAGTGAATCCAAGTGGAAATAGTTAATGTTCTATACATGATCAATATGAAACATTGCATTACAAAAATTCACGAGCTTTTACTGTTAAATCTAAAAGATTATTTACTAGACAACTTAAAAGAGAGGACTATGTTTGTAACTTCTCTATTGAAGGAGTGTTTGGATTTCATATTCTACAATTGAGAGATTCCTTCCTTGTAAACACTTTAATTTATATTGTGTTGTAAAGAGTGACGTTATGTACTTAGATCAAAAGTGTCAAATTGTATTCATTGTGAGTCAAGTGATGGTGAATATTACTTGTAATTTTTTTTAATTAGTGAAACTTTGCATAACATGAACGCAACCTATTTTGAGGCGAATCCACATATAAATCAAAGTTTTCACTGTTATTCATTACTCGTGTTTATCATATGAGACCATTGTGAAAAAAAAATTGTAAATGTACCTCAAAATTATTAGATGATAATCATTATCCAACACAGATAACAAAAAAAAACGAAACTCTATTTAAATTCCTTTTCTAAAAAGCTAACAATTTATTTTACAATTGTTATGTAGTAAGGATATTTATGTAATAACATAAATATCTTAGATATTTGTCAAAGCCACTAACCACATTTTTAGGTAAGGTGGTTATT